GGAGGGAGAAAAAAAGGCATTAACAGGGTTACACCAGCAGGGTGTAGCACTCCAATGCAAAAAAACACCCGACATGTAAGCAACAAACGTCACAGTTCACAACATGAGACCCGGTAGGTAGGGGGGAGGGGCTGGGATCCTGGTTCCTCAGCGGGGGCGGCCTGTGTGGCGCTCAACCAGCTGGCTCCGCAGGTGGGAGGGAGGTCATGGGGAAGCACAGTGAGCAGTGAGTCCTTCAGCTTGATTACCTCGGTGGAGACCTCAATCTGAAGGCGGGGGTGGGGGTGGGGGGGGGGTGGATAGAGATTCACAGCATTTGTCTGCATTCCTTCCAGCGTGGGGGTTTTGCATGCAACTCCAAGGCTGCTTATGGCGTCAGATTCGATAACAGCACCCAAGTCCGCAGCGACGCGGGCCTCTGGCAAAGGTATTACCCACAAGTCATTGCTGTGGGAAAAAAGGCTCAAGTAATGTATTTTCTAATGAAATTAGTTCATTCTAGGACAATTAGTTGATGCTCTGAATGTTTTAGACAAAGCAGCAATGAAGTTCAATTTATTTCAAATAGTTTGTTGTTTGTTTTAAAGTTGTTAATAAAGGTTTTGGAAAAAAAGTTTCACAGCGACCAGCATCCCGGCATGCGTTGCGATCAATGACGCAGTGCTCCCTGTCTCAATTCCGCAATTATTTGCACACTTGTGTACTACGTACTCGAACACTACTGCGCACTTTCTCCAAGACCGCAGGGCGCAAAGCGAGTATTGGGATAAACCCCTCCTTTCCACCAGAGCCAGGACGGAGCCGTCAGCAGCACGTCACAGCTGCCGACAGGAACCGCTGTGGTCAACAGAACCTTTTCCACCGGAGCCGTCAGCAGTGCGAGTCGGCCGCGTCTCAGGAGCAGCATGTCGCTGCCCTTACGCGCCGGTGTCGGTACAGGATCGGCTCGGGGTCCTTCGACTGCCGATGACGTCAAAGTAGTTGATTGGCTGAACATGAAGCTTACAGAAGTGACGTTATCAAGTTATGATTTTGATTGGTCAGAACAAATTTGCGGTCGTAGTCTTAGCGGTTGTAGTCCTGTAGTCCAAAAATCAACACTTATTGGAGAAAATATGTTAGAATTTCTAAAGGAAATGTAAAATATAAGCAAATGATAAACGGTGACCCTCAAAAGCTCTTGATGTTGATGAAATGGGGCAAAATAAAATATAAGAACTTTATTGAAAGACACCAAGCAATAATTTGAGTCAAAGAAGGTATTTAGATAACAACTAAGGAAATAAACAGACAAACTCCACATTAATACAAACAGATGTGGCTTCACATATAAGAACTGTTGTATTGTTTGTCAGTCTGATGTTGGTTTTATGCAGTTTCACATTCTTTACAAAACAAAGATAATATGGTGTTTTATTAACAAATTACAATTATAAAGAAAACATTTAGGTGTTAACAAACAAGAATTTATTAACAAAACTGCTGATGTCTTTCCAAAACGTATGTGTGAAAGCCGAGTAGATTTGCAGTCATGTGACGTCATCGGCAGTCGAAGGACCCCGAGCCGATCCTGCACCGACACCGGTTCAATTTTCTACGCGCTACGCCTCTGAAACGGGTCAAGTTTGACATTTTTGGGGAAGAAGGACAGGAAATCGGACGCGGAAATGGAGCAAAGCTTCCAGAGATTTTCAGAATAAAGAACGTACTGCCTCCCGGTTGCTATACTTTAAAAAAAGGTTACTAACTGTGCGGCCCCGTGAGAAGTTATCACCTAGCTAGCGGTCTCCTCTGTTTTTCAGGTCTGTATTGGCGATTATAAAACAGACAGAACATAAAACTCAAACCTTTTGGAGCCATGTTGCAATTTTCTCCTGCTTGTTGTTGTGTTTACTGACGAAGTCACTCGTGTGACTTCGTGCTCCGTCGGTGACAGCTGCTCCCCTGCTGCTACGCGACGTGTCTCTGGTGGGAAGGGCCAAGCAGCAGCTTACGCGAGCAAGACGTGCTGCTGCAGTAACGTGCTGCTGACGGCTCCGGTAGAAAGGAGGGGTAAGAGAACAAAGTATTAGTACTTGATTACTCAACATTTTTGAGAACAACATAGCAACAGTCAGTCATGGATGTGGAGGTGTGATGGTATGGGGCTGCTTTGCTGCTTCAGGACTTAGACCTGCTGTAACTGTAACTGTAACAGAACATACTGAAGGAGAACCTCTGACCTTTGACCTTCACCAGGCCATTTGTGTTGGAAAACTCTCCAATGTGGATGAATTTATATAATTTTGCAAAGTAAGCGATGTTGTTGCCACCCAGTTTCACCAGAGCCAGACTGGTTCAGATAGATTTTCACCCATTTAAAGAAAAAAAAAATGAAGCCATCCTTTGAAACCTGCGTTTTCACTTGGGTTATCAGCAGAGGTGTGACCAAGTCACTGCTTTGCAAGTTACAAGTAAGTCACGTCTTTCCATTCAAATCTCAAGTCAAGTCCAAGTTAAACACAACCAAGTACAAGTCGATTCCAAAGTCAATGATGTGGAAGTCCGAGTCAAGTCCAAGTCCTCAACTTTGAATTTTCAAGTCATAAGTACAACTTCAATTTAATGACAGATGATAAATTCCAGAAATAAAGCTCAAGCAGAAAGTGTAACTGAAACTTATTATAAACAAAGAGCTGCTGCATTTAGCAACAACATCAAACCCAGAATGAGAAGGATTTATGATTTTTGTGCCACTTTTGTTCTAAAAAATCAAATTTGCTCAAGTCATCAACTCAACAGATGCAAGTCGATTGAAGTCGCAAGTCATTGGCGTTAAGTCTTAAGTCTTTATAGATTTTATCAAGTCAAGTCAGAAGTCATTAAAATAATGACTCGAGTCCAAGTCATGTGACTCGAGTCCACACCTCTGGTTATCAGTAATACTCAAGTGTGTTCTGATCCAGGCTTCAGTTTGATGCTGTACTGCCCCCAGGTGGTGAAAATCTAACAGTGCAACAAAAAGCGCCTGAACCTCTCATTGGATTCATCTTTCTGCATTAAAAAGCAGATAACATCATTTTGAAAGTAACAAGTCCCACCTTGGTCGTGTGGTTTGCTCTGTTTAAATGACCTTAGCAGGTTTTTTTGTCCTTTAGGTCATTCCATGAAACCTTTTTATGCCAATTTTTAAGAAACAAGTAAAAGAAATTTCTCAATTATGCTGAAAATCCTCAGACATGTCGTGTCTGATTTTAAAACGCCCATATTTCTCATTTTTTCACATTTCATCGATGAAAAGCAGCATTTAAAAAACTTGAATAAACGCACGGTCAAAAATACCTTCAATCTGAAAATTTGACCCAATTTTTAAACCAATGAGTCCTTAAGGTGCTTTTTATTCCTCCAATTGTCTTTTTCCTTTTTAACGTGACGACCAAATATAATAAAAGCTACATTTAAATGGTAAAAATGGTAAATGGCCTGTATTTGATATAGCGCCTTCTAGAGTCCTAGAACCCCCCAAGGCGCTTTACAACACAATCAGTCATTCACCCATTCACACACACATTCACACACTGGTGGGGATGAGCTACAATGTAGCCACAGCTGCCCTGGGGCGCACTGACAGAGGCGAGGCTGCCGAGCACTGGCGCCACCGGTCCCTCCGACCACCACCAGCAGGCAACGTGGGTTAAGTGTCTTGCCCAAGGACACAACGACAGCGACAGTCTGAGCGGGGCTCGAACCTGCAACCTTCCGATTGCGGGGCGAGCACTTAACTCCTGTGCCACCGTCGCCCCAATTATAGAATTTATAGAATACTCTGTTGCCAGTGTTGGGAGTAACGCGGTACAAAAGTAATTAATTACTGTAATGCATTGCTTTTTGCTGTAATGTGGTAATGTAAGGCATTACAGGGAAAGAAAATGGTGATATTTACTCGGTACAATTGTCAGTAACGCGGTAATTACAATGCATTTTTAAACCCAGAATCAAACTGCATTTCTTAAAAATTCTAATTGCGGGAAACCCGAAAAAAGATCCAGTATCTGCATATATGATGTCATTTATGGACTCAGCTTTGCGGGCAGAGAGGACGTAGCGGTACCGGCTCAACTACTCCAGCTGCATCCTGCGCGCGGCCGCTGTAACATTCACAAAATCGCTCCACTAAAACAAAATAATTCACCTGCGATCGTTCATATCAGCGCATATTCTCTGGTATTCTGTGCTTTTCTGACGTGCTTTGCCTCAGCTGAGTTAATCTGGGCTCCGGTGATTTCAACTCATTGCTGCTGGAGCGCCGCGCATGTGAAGATCCCTTTGGCTGATTAGTTAGAAAGTAGGAAATCTAGGAAACGGGTTTTCTGGAAGATGGAGAAAACATGCAGCATGCAGGAAGGTTAGAGAGAGAAAGGGCAGGAAATTATTCAAATAAAATCAAGAAAACAAAACAAAGTGCTTGAAAAGAAAAAATGTAGGTAGATTTATCCCCAATACTCATTTTTACCTGTGAAAAGCAATAATATATAAACATTTAATATTTATACATGTGATAGAATCAGATCACCCCAGAAGTCAGTCCCACATCCAGTGCCGTAGCAAGGCATTTGGGGACCAAGGCAAATATAGGCTTGGAGCCCCCACCACCTCACTCCCTGCTCAGTTAATATAAGTTGGCAGCGTGCTGAGTACTGATTGTTGTTGCATTTATTACATAAACAATCCTTCTAAAGAACTGTTTTTAACAGCAATCCTAGCTCAGACACCACATCACCTTCCACCGGATGTGTCATGAGTTCACCAGGCATCAGATTACCAAACTCATACTGAAGTTGTTTTGTTGAAAGTAACTTAGAGTAATGCAAAAGTAGTGTTAATGCCTTACATTTTAAAATCAGTAATATTGTAATGTAATGAATTACTTTAAAATGAGGGTAACAAGTAATAAATAATGCATTACAGTTTTGAAGTAACTTGCCCAGCACTGTCTGTTGCACAATGATTCAAATAAACTGTTGCTGGTGGAAAATGAGAAATATTTATTACCAGAAACATTTTACAATAAACTTTTCTATTAATGGTGAATGTCGCTCTGAGTCACACAAACTGTAAGAAAATGTACAAACTTTGCTTTTCTGAGGCTTAAAAGGTTATTAAATTTAAATCCATCAAAACAAAACTTAATAAAAATTGACCCCAAAGGCACACACAGTAAGTGTACGGAAGCTGCAGCTGTTTCTTTAAGAGTAGAAACACATTTTAAAAATCTGTCGTTTGCCAAAAGGTCAAATTTAACTATTTTATATTTTCTAAAATAGAAATATTTGGTCATACATTCACAGTGTAAGAGCGGCTGCTGAAGGTCACACCACATATTTCAGATTCTTTACAAATAATAAAAAAACAACCACAGGGAATCAAAAACAATGAACCGCTTCATTTCTGCAAGCAGAAAATTTGCATATTTTTTCATGAATTTGCACAAAGTTTTAGAATTTTCTAACAAATAAATAAAACTGAAGTTTCACTTCAGACTTTTGGAACAAATGCAAATATCCGTGTTACTTAGATAAACGTAGCATATGAAGGCGAGAAGGCAGATGAGCTGAGCTCTAGTTGAACTCGACCCTTCGGTGCCGCATTTACACCCGAGCCTGTCTGTCCTCGCTGTGCTGCACAACGATGGTTCCTGCTACAACGTCATGAAACATTCTGTCTAGTTCGAGGCCGGCACCAATGAAGAACGGGAAGAAGGACGAAATAATGACCTTCAAACAGACCCGCACGATGCAGCTGTGAAGAAAACAAAAGAACCATTTGGAGTTTTAGTTCATAACGATAAAATAAACCTTCATCTAGGAAATGTAACCTAGCAGGATGATGCAACTCACGCAGAGAGGGAGATGCTCGATCCAGGAACCACAAGAATCCGATTGGGCCGCACCGTTGTTGATGTGTCACACATCACCACTCGCAAACCGAACAGATATTTTCCTGGAGTGGCTCCATTGACGCCCCAAACACAGAGGACCTGATTGAACGAGAGCATAGGCTTCGGCAAGCTGCTGGACTCTTCAGCTCTGGTCCCTGAAGGACCCTCTCCAGGATGTTTTAGTCGTTTCTCTGCTCCAACACATCTGACTCAAGGTTAGAATCTCCTACCGATTCAAATCTGGTGTGTCGAAGCAAAGAAACCTAATAATTAAATATTGGGAGGGAACAGGTACTCACAGAGCAGGAACCCCACTTTTGGGTCACAACAGATTATAATTTATTGTTTTTATTTGTTTAGGTTTGTTTGTGTTCTAATAGAGGAGGCAGTTTGGTGTTGTCAAGCCAGTTCGTTGGGGAGGAGGCTCGTCTAAATCAGTGGTCTAAATAACTGCTTGCGCTCTGCACAGTGACAGTAATAAATACACAAATTCTGATTATTAAATGTTTAAGTGACAGCAAGTAATTAAAATTGTGCCAACATTTTCTATGTTAACACTCATTTCTTTTAACAACAGTAGTTTCTGCAGCTTTACTGTTCCCCTGCTTCAGCCCGCCCCCTCCCCCGCGCAGTGGCTGCAAGAAAGGGACATTATGGAAGTTTACAGCCAAAACATGTATAGAAATAATAAAGTTCTTCTTCTACTATTGAAGCTGCCGTTACGCTTTTGGCCTGAGGGGGCAATCGCGAGCATAAAAATTCAAAAGTCCGTAAAGTCCCTTTAAGAAAGTAGCTAAAATGCTATACCGTATGTTAGCTTTGACCGGATTTCCACCCGGACGATAGCCTGGCAAGACAGACTAAATAAATGTATTATATAGTCTGTCCACGCTCCATTGACGGCTCTCAGTTGTGGGGCGGGTTCTACCGTTGTCTTTCAAATGATCTCCGCATTCCACTGGACAATGAATGTGACATACTCTTGTTTCACTCTGTTGCATCATCCCACCCACCAGGCATATAGAGTGCCCTGATTGGCCCACAAAGCGGATAAAGCTCTGTGATTGTTCACTAAGCAGATAGAGCACTATGATTGGCCCACCATTATGGACCAATCACAGCTCTTTATGTGTTTGAAACCCCTCTAGAGAGCTGTGATTGGCTAGCCAAAGTCCTGGTAGGAGCTGCGGAGGTTCCAATGGCGCATGCCTAGACCAAACTTTGCAAAGCAAGAATTTGGTCTAGTTCACTAGGCTACCAGGACGAGGGATTGTAATGATGTCCCGTCAGAACTGTGACAGCTGGTGTTCCCACATAGTTTACGAAAATGGTAAATGGCCTGTATTTGTATAGCGCCTTCAGGGTTCTACAACCAACCACCACCAGCAGGCAAGGTGGGTTAAGTGTCTTGCCCAAGAACACAACGGCAGCATTCTGTGGTCTGGGCCAGGATCAAACCTGCAACCTTCCCATTACTGGACAACCCACCTCCTGAGCTACTGCTGCCTTACAGAGCTTTGTGCAAACCAACTGATCACATCCTCCATGTCACCCACCTCATACACGATCATTAGCATCTTTATGTTCAGTGCTGCAGCGATCACATCTAGATGGAACTTTTTATCAGATGGCATAACGACTTTGAAGTGGAACCTGTTACAGTCACTTAGAAAGAAGAACAGTTTGTATGAGCATGGATCTGGAAAATCGGAGCATAAAAAGCACCACTTTGGTACCAGAATAGCTGAAGTAATTCGTTTCAATTATTAATTCATGCAGTTTTTAGGAAATTGTCAGCAGAAATGATGGACCTTACTCACTTCATGCCACTACCGGTGTACAGCAACAAAAAGGTTTGCACATTACATATGACGAACAAGTCCACCGTCTGTGCCAGGGACCTGGTGAACGTAGACGGGACTGTGTACTCACGACCTGTGAAAAGAATATTATGGTTTCTTTTGAGTTATTGGAGGCAGAGCAAACTAGAACCTACTTATGTATTTAGGCTTATTTGTACCCGCTTCCTGCAAATCTCGTGAACTAACTTTTAAGACCCGCACGTGTAATATTTTAGCTAAACTTTGTCCTGGGAAACAACGGTAGCCTACCTGAAACGGACATTTAACCGCCTCAGTGATACCACAACGGAATGTTGAGCAAAGTTGCAGCAGTGGATGTGGCAGCACCACAGGTGAGGGTAGGTGGCTGGCCTTCAGCTTCCCTCCACCGAGCGCCCAGACCCCGGTGTACCACCTGTCTCAGCTTCTGGGTGCTGGCGGCAGGAGGCGGTTATTGACCCGTCGAGCTGGTACGATTTTTCCCTTGGACCGCCCGCGTCGTCTCTTCTTCCCCTGTGGTGGAGCTCGACGGAGGAGACAGGCCTGACTTGAGTCAACACACTGCTATGTAAATAAATATGTCCAAAGATGTCCACTAGACCTCCTTCCAGTTCATCACTCAATTGTCACAACTGACTCGATTCTGTTTTTAGCTAACAGTTCTAGACCGTTCAAACTCGGCGCTGGCCAACTCTAAAAAGATAGGGGTATATCCATGCTATCAAATGCTACATTTATAATACATATTAATTAATCGACTATATAATTTAACAAAAATCACGTCAATAAAAACTAATTTCGAATTTACCAGTCATAAAGAAAATCAGTCAAAGTTTGTAAAGAAAAAAACAAAAACAAAAAAAAAAACAACACCGTACCCCCCTTTTTATAATAATGGAATAATCCAATTAAAGGCGCGTGCTGTAAGTGACACCTGCTAGCAAGCGTACTACCATGATGCCAACCGCTAATAAATACATGAAGAAGAGATATCATTTTTTGTTTGTTTGTTTTTTATTTGCACAAAATATAATGTAAAACAATTATGGCAATCTCTACAAAGAATCAGTTTTACCAACATGAGATAGTATCAGAACAGGCTGAATTCCAACATATAGAAGAAGGATAATGAACAGGAAGTACAAACAACAACAAATAAATAAATAAAATAAAAACAAACCCCAAACAGAACAAATAAGCAAACAAATGAACAAAAAGACAGATGATTAAAAAATAACAAAAAACGTTATACCTTAGGGGCTTTCTAACAGATCTGGTTCAACAATCATATGATTCAAATCCAGAGCTCGTTTTTTGTCCACAAATTTAACAGATGAGGAAAAAGAGGCAGATTTTTTTGTGAAAAGTAAAAAAAAAAAGACGGCTTTGTGTTCAGAAAACGACATTTGTGAATGAAGAATTTGCCCATAATAATTATTACATTTAAAACATTTTCAAGCTTCTTTTCTTAGAGAACCAAACATAATATCATTTTTAGAAAATTCAAGTAAGTTTGGGATCTTAGGGAAGAGCCAGTAGTGCGCATCGTTCCACGGGGCTTTACAGAATATACAGTCATAAAATAAATGCTCTGTTGATTCAATATCCCCATTACAAAAAGAGCAACAATTATCATCAATAGCGAAGCGACGTCTGAGAAATTCTTTGGAAGGGTAAACACCAGAGAGGATTTTGTAGTGGACCTCCTTAGCTTTGGGAAGAATGGGAAGTTTTAAGTCATTTTTTCTGATCTCTTTCTTTTGATCACCGGAGAACAGATGTGAGATGGAATTTGGATTGGATATATAAGGGAAAAAACATTAGTAAATAATTCCCTAATTTGGGACTTTTTAGACTGTTAGCTGTTATGTTATGCCCATTTACCAACAGTTCAGGGAGATCAGGGAATCTATAGTCAGGGTTTTGAAAAGATCATATGCTGTACATAGAATGTTTTGAGGGATAGCCTTAGTAATTTTTTGAAATTCTTTATTTATTTGCAGATCATAATTTGCGGTAAAATCTAATAAAATTTTACCTCTATCATTTAACAAGTGCATCACTGACCAGATGCCTTTGTCGTACCATTTTTCCATAAAGATTGATTTGTTTCCAACTGTTATGTAACGACTGTTCCATAGGGGAGTGTTGTGTGGGCTATAGTTATTGTTAGTCCCCGACAGGTGTTGTTAAAAAGTGAAGGATGGGGGTAACATAAGACTGGACAGTGGATATTAAAAGGGTTTTATTGTAACAAAAAGGTTCTAAAAACATGCAAACAGATCTCTCTAAAAGGTTAACATCACAACAAATTATCAACTATAAAAACACCTGGTTAGAACTTTGTTAACAGCTTAACCAAACAGAAGGTGTTTTAAAATCCCGAAGTTGATAAGAGTTCCAAAACAATATACTGACTAAAACACCTGGTAAAAACTTACTTTAAAAAGCTTTACCACAACGAAGGCGTTTAAAACCGAGGTCAGTAATCATGGACGTAAGTTTGGGGGGGGGACAGGGGGGACATGTCCCCCCCACTTTCTCCAAAGTCAGGTTTTCACCCCTGCACTTTTTACCAATAATTTATATTAAATTGGCACTGGTTGAGCTCTAGGACCAAGCAGAAAACAACCATTTGTGTTGAAGCCTGTTTCCCATTAGAACATACTGTAAAGACCCCCCCCCCCACACACACACACACACACACACACACACACGTGTCCCCCCCACTTCTAAAGTGAAAATTACGTCCATGTCAGTAATATTGCCACAAACAAAGTTAAACTTAAAATCAAACTGCAAAAAATATCCCTCTGGATCATCCAAAAACTTCTTACTAAGAGTTAAAAACCAAACCAAAGTTTAAAACTCATCCACATGAATCTAAACGAAAGGGGTTGAACCCAAACTAGAAACCAGGAGGACAGCAGAACCCCTGCACTGCTGCCTCCCAGACTGCTGAAGGCACAGCCTTTTTATGCAGGTGTTGGCAATCAAGGAAGATGCAGCTCAGCTGTGCTCCTCAGCAGCCTGGGAGAGAGGAGGAAGAGGGGCGGAGTCGGGCTGATCCACCAGAGCTGGGTGATCCTGGCTCCTGCTCTTCCCTGGCCAGACTGGCAACCGTAACGGTTATTGTTTGTATATTAATTTCCAGTATAATAAAACTTGCTGGTGAAAGGAAGAGAGCTTTATGGGGAGTTTTTTTTTATATGTCAAAGTCACATCTAAGTAAGAGATTAAATCCGCTGAGAATATTTTGCTTGGAAGGTGAAACCAAAGGCTATTTTGACTTCTTAAAAATGACCTAAGCCAATTTATTTATAGGGTGCCGTTTAAGCTGTCAAATTCAAGAGCTTGCAAACCTCCATCTTCAAAACGTTTGACTAAATTACCTTGCCTAATGTAGTGGGTGTTGCGTTTCCATATAAAATCAAAGTTTAGCTGGTTGATAGCTTTGATTGCTGATTTAGGCACTCCTGTCGCATATGCAGGGTATACTAGCCTGGAGATACTTTCCATTTTGGTAAGAAAAATTCTACCTAGAATCAATAAGTCTCTCTGAGCCCAGTTATTTAAATGAGTTCTACAGGTTTGAATTTTCTCCAAAATATTAAGATTATCTAAATCATTCTTATTCTTGGTTATATACACACCCAAATATTTGACATTGGATTTAACAGGAATATTAAAAGTGTTAGAAATAGTACAATCATTTAAAGGTAAGATCTCACATTTGTTTAAATTCATCTTTAATCCTGAAGCTTTCGAGAAAGTTTCAATAATCTGCAGGATTTGGGGGATTTCATTCAGGTTATTTAGGAAAATAGTTGTATCATCGGCTAACTGGCTGATAGAGAGCTCTTTACCCAGGATAGATATCTTACCAAACTCAGCATTTTTTTAATCAGTATGGAAAGCATTTCTGTTGCTGCGATAAACAACAATGGCAAGATTGGACATCCTTGTTTTATTCCTCTGCAAATCCTGAAATCTTTGTGAGGTGCCGCATGGAAGACACACTGAACTGTTAGTATCTCTATACAGTAATTTGATTACATTAATGAAGTTACCTCCAAAACCGAACAAATCAAGGGCCTGAAACATAAATTCATGTTCTATCATGTCGAAGGCTTTGTAAAAAAAAATAAAAGAGGACAAAACCCTGGCTTTCAATTAGGTAGTTGTAGTCAATCAAGTCCAAAATAAGGCGGATATTATCATGGATTGAGCGACCTTTTATAAATCCAGACTGAGTGTCAGAAATAATTTAAGTTATGCCCGATTTTAACCTGTTTGCAAAAATATGTTAGAAGTTTATAATCATTATTTAATAGAGTAACTGGTCTTAAATTATCAAGAAGAGTCGGGTCTTTCCCAGGTTTAGGTATGAGTGTAATCATAGTGTGTGAGAGACCCATTTTCTAAAATGTCTGTGAGCATTCCAAACACAAGGGTTCTACTATGAACCCAAAAATGTTTGTAAAAGTTGCTGGTCAAATCACAACCTGGTGCTTTATCTTTGGGTAAAGCATTTAAAGCTCTAATTCTTCAATGGTAATTTTGCCCTCACAGGTCTTTTTAAAATTTTCATCAATTTTAGGAATCAGGTGTTTGATAGATTGGAAGAATGTCTCAGCCAATGGTCTAGAGTATGAAGAGGAGTACAAATTACTGTAAAAGGTAAAGATTTCTTTAGATATTAATTGAGGGTCAGTGCACAGCCGACTTATCAATTTGTAGACTATTTATAGCATTTCTCTCTTGTCTTATCTTTTCTAATCTACAAAAATATGCTGTACTTTTTTCGCCACCCTCAATCCATTTGGCTCAGGTTCTCAGATATGCTCCGTTGGCCTTTTTAGTATGAATATCGTCTAAAGAAGACTGTAGAATACTTCGACGTTGTCTGTCATTATCATTAAAATAGGGTTTCGAGCAGATGTGATTAAGTTGATAATTTCAGTTTATTTTTGCTTGTTCTGATGAGCTTTTAATTTACTGCGTTTACTTGAGATTTGACGTACTTTCAACTTAAAGAATTCCCATTTTTCTGTGCAAGAGCTTATGTTTACATTAGTTGAAATAAGTTTCTAGTTGAAGTATTTCGTTACTAAAATTTTCATTGGTAAGCAGGGATGAATTTACCTTCCAGTAACCTTTATTATAAGAGTTTAAGTTGAGGAGTGACACTGAAATGAATCAGTGTTCGGTTAAAGGCGCAGCTGAGACACCCACATCTACACTATTCTGCATTAAGCTGTCTGAGATTAGCCAGAAGTCGATGCACGATTTAGCCGAACCATCAGGCGTGAACCACGGAAAGGACTGAACAAGTGGGTTTGCTAATCTCCAAGGATCTGTTAGGTTGAGATTTAGGCAGAGATTTAGGCAGAAAGTGTAAAAATTAATTTATATGATGGGAATAAAATTTACAGGGTGATGTATCAAGCCATTCGTCAAACTATTTTGAAATCTCCACCTAATACAAGATTGTTTGTGGAGTATTTGTGCGAGTTCTTTTAGGTGATTGGTGATTTCAGTAAATAATTTCAGTAAATAAAAGTTTGTTCTGAGCTACATTGTTGTAACCATAAACATTACATAGAATCAAAAAGCTATTATCCACTTTTAGCACACAAATAAGCCAATGGCCCAGACTGTCTTTCCTATGAGTTTCAATTTTATTAAAGTTTTTAAATAGTACAGCTACCCCAGCTGATTTGTTAGTACCATTACAAAGAATTATTCTTTCCCCTCAGTGACTAAACCAAATATTTTCATCTGCCTCCACAGAGTGTGTTTCTTGTAGCAGTATACAG